AGAGAGAGAGAGAGAGAGAGAGAGAGAGAGAGAGAGAGAGAGAGAGAATGAAAGACAGAAATATTGAGTCAGTGAATTATGGGAACCAAGAGGTTCCATATCATTTTGTCTGAAAGCCAAGCAGCTAGGGAAGCTATCTGTAGTGTTAAGTGTGAGTTTAAAGGTCAGATAACTTGGGAAGCCTATGGAGTGAGTCTCAGTTTGCCTCCACTCATGCAGTCAGACACAGTGGGTAGAATTTTCCTTGTTTCTCTCCATTTGTCCATTTTATCCTTTAAAGCATTGGATGATGCCTACCTACTCTTGGAGGAAAATCAAATTTACTAAGTCCACCAATTCAAATACTATTCTCACACATAAACCTCTTGACAGACATAGCTGTGCATCATGTTTAATTGAATATTCACCCATCATGTTTAATTGAATATTCACCCATCTTATTACCCAAGTGACACATGAAATTGACATTGGAATTATGTAGTATTTTTATTACCATCCTTATGTATCCCGTCTTTTTTGTAGATTTTAGTTTTAAGAAATTTATTTTAGTCTTAATATCCACTTATGAGTGAGTACATACAATATTTGTCTTTCTGGTTACCTCAACTCAGAATGATCTTTTTTCTAGTTCCATCTATTTGTCTGCAAATTTCATGAGGTAATTTTTTCTTATAGCTGAGTAATACTACATTGTGTAAATACACCACATTTTCTTTATCCATTCTTCAGTTGAGGGGAATCTAGGTTGTTTCCAGGTTCTGGCTATTACAAATAATACTGCTATGAACATGGTTGATTAAGTGTCCTTGCAGTATGATTGAGTATCCTTTGGGAATATGCCCAAGACTGCTATAGCTGGGTCTTGAGGGAGATTGATTCCCAATTTTCTGAGAAAGCGCCATACTGATTTCCAAAGTGGCTGTACAAGTTTGCATTCCCACCAACAGTGTAGGAGTGTTCCCCTTGCTCCACATCCTCTCCAACATAAGCTGTCTTTAGTGTTTTTGATCTTAGCCATTCTGACAGGTGTAAGATCGTATCTCAGAGTCCTTTGATTTGCATTTCCCTGATGACTATGAATGTCGAACAACCCTTTAAGTGTATTTCGGCCATTTGAGGTTCTTCTATTGAGAATTATTTGTTTAGATCTGTACCCCATTTTAAAAATTGGAGTATTTGACATTTTGATGCCAAATGGCTAGATAACAAGGAGAGCCCAAAGAAGGACACAAGAATTTCCCTGGAAAGAAAAAATAGAAGAGCTCTCCTGGGTAAATTAGGTGCAGTAGGGTGGGGGAATTGGGAACATGAGGTTAGGCAAGCTGGGCACAGGAGGCCAGTTTAGGCTTGGGAGTGGGAAAGAGGGGAAGTAATGAAAAAGATGTCTTGATAGGAGGGGCCATTTCAGGTTTAGGGAGAAACCTGGTGATAGAGAAACTCCCAGGAATCCACAAAGATGACCCTAGCTAAGACTTCTAGCAATAGTGGAGAGGGTGCCTGAACTGACCATCTCCTGTAATCAGATTGGTGACTACTCTAATTGCCATCAGAGAGCCCTTATTCAGTAACTGATGGAAGCAGATGCAGAGAGCCACAACCAAGCACTGGGCCGAGCTTCAGGGGTCCTGCTGAAGAAAGAAGAATGAGGAATTGTATGAGCCAGAGGTGGGGGAAGTGTCAAGGTTGTGAAGGAGAAACCCCCAAAGACAGCTGACCTGAGCTCATGGGAGCTCATGGACTCTGGAACAGCAGTTAGGGAGTCTGCATGGGACCAGCCTAGGCCCCATGCATGCGGATGACAGTGGCATAGCTTGGTCTGTCTGTGAGGCTTCTAGCAGTGAGACATGACCTATCACTGCAGCCCTTAGCTGGCTTTTAGGAACCTATTCCCCATGCTGGATTACCTTACCCAGCCTTGATACAGGGGGAGGAGCTTGGTCCTGCCTCAACCTGATGTGCCATGCTTTGTTCAAGCCCATGGGAGACTTTCCCCTTTCTGAATAGAGACAGAGGAGGAGTGGATGGGGAGGGAGGTTGGTGGGAGTTGCATGTGCAGGAATTTGGGGTGAGGGAGCAGGAGGAGAGGAGGGAAGGGAAACTGTGGTTGGTATATAAAATAAATAAAAAAATTTTAATTGAAAAATAAATAAAAGGGGGAAAAGGACATTTATTTATCTTTATTGTGTGTTTCTATGTGTATGTATGTGAGAGTATGTGTATGTGCATGTGTGGGCTACAGTGTGCTTATGGGGGTCAGAAGACAACTTAGGCTTGTTCTAGTCTACCAACATCTAGGTACTGAAACTCAAACTCAGGCTGTCAGGCTTGGCAGCAGGCACTGTCACCTGCTGAACCATTTTGCCAGTCAAAATTAGGCCATTTATAATATGCATATATAGATGTGTTAGTGTTAGTTCTACTGTGAAATTCAGTCATGAAGATTTTAGAGCAACATGTGAAGTCCCCTTCATCATTTGAATGTAGAACATAACATTAAACAACTTCAACCCACACAAAACACATACCATATATGTTGTCTCTCAGATTTTCTGAGGGTATGTTCCCTTTAATATTTTAAACAAATTTATCATTAGAAGTATTCTCTTTAGAAGTTGGCATTGAGAAACACAGTGCCTCATGAGTTGATTCCCACATACATTGTAACAGTAAATGGCCATTCCACAATCAGAAAAAAAAATGTAGTTAAGATAATCAATTATCAGAGATACTGCTTGGGTTCAAGTCCTGACTTCATTTGCCAGTTATATAACATTGAGAAAGCTACTTCATCAGTTTATATGGCCTTCAATTATGTTATATGAACATGACTTAGAATGATGCCTGACACCAAATCAAAGCTCATTAAATATTGTTTAGTATATTTGTATATTATTTGTATAGTTAATTTGGCAATTGAAGCAAAAGGTTTTTTTTCTGTTGCTATCATGTTATTTTAAAAACTTGTTCTCTAATTGTTTATTCTCTTGAATGTATTTTATTCTTAAAATGTATCTAACTCCAAAGTATGATTATCCATAAAGTTGAAAAATAGCCATGTTACAATTCCTGTTAATATTTGTGTCTTAGATATGAAAACCTGCTTGTTTTTGACTAATGATACTGGCATTTCCTTTCTCTAGTCAACTAAACAAAGAAGTGGGTACAACACTAATAAATTATTTAATTACTTAATTACACTATACATGTAAAAGTTGTATAGCAGGTAATAACACTTCTTCCTAAGGATTTTTAAATCACAGACTACTATTTTAGGAGGAAGTAGAAATAATATGTTGTTTCTTTAGGTGTAAGAGGGCTTCTGAATGAACTCTTTTTTGCTTGTTTGTTTTAATATTAACATGTACAATACATAGAAGTGTCTTTTGTTATTTCTTTAGAAAGGAGGGGAGGAAAAGAGGGAGAGGGGAGAATGTGTACTAAACTGTAAACTTAATCTACAGCTTTTGGCTTCAGGCAGAACTGAGCTCAAATAAGCATATACAATTGTCTTGAGGAGCCACGTTTGTTTAGCTTTTGGGAAGCTGTTTCTTTATCTGAAGAATTGGGATGATGGAAGCACCTCATTGGATAGATGTAAACCCAGAGGCAACCAATAGGCTAATTATAAACACTAATTTCTTCTTTGTCATGTATTCAAAATGTTCACTATTTGTTTTTTGGTATTTGATATCTCTGAAAATCTTAGTGTCAGTAATTAAAAACCAATTACAGAATGATCATCTTTAAATTCTCTTGCATCTCTGCTGAGTATCTCAGTAGCCTTTGGTAACTGCTGGTATCAGTGGGTCCAGATAACAGCCTCTTGTTCAGCTACCTAGTGTCCAGTTAAGCCCTTTATCATAATAACACACAGATTTCCTTTCAGGTTCTTCTCCCAAACTAACTCTCAAATTAATCACTAGATCCTAAGGAAAAAATATGATTATATATTATCTCCAAATTAAGTATCTCTAAATTACAAATAATCTAAATCTGTTTACTTGATGTAGAATTGTCACATTTACATACAGATGCATGGGTACTTGAACAAACAAATAGGCCTCTAGAGAGGTCATCAACTGTTAATATGTGAGAATGAATCTAAAAATATTTAATTTTCAAATTTTTAAGTATTTATGTCGAAATATGCAGTGCATCCACTTAATCATCTGGCTTTAACTTTACTGTGTCCTTAGATGCTAAGATATAGAAGCAATAAATGTATCAGTTAGGAAGAAGCTTAATGAAGTTTTACTATATGCAAACCAAATGATATTTTAAGATATTCCATAGACAGCTTACAAATCTTTTTTAAAGTATCATGCAATTAATACCCTTATTCTCAGTAATATTTTTAAATATTTTAAATCTTTGCTAGGCAAATTAAGTATCCTTTTTCTTCAGTTTCTAGTGTGTTCAAAGAAAATGAATACAGCCAGACCGGTTACACTCCTAGGTCATATCTACTTCCAGCAATATGACTCAATATTTCCATTGTATATTAATTACAGATTGATCCTTTTATTGATATAAGCATTGAGTAGAAACAGTAATTACTCTTGAAGCACTAAGTTCAATAAGAACTTTATGGAGAGATATAACTGTTAGGTACTGCTGTAGACACTCTTGAAATGTACCAGGGTAGGGGAGGAAATAGATACTTAAATCTATTTCAATTAAACTTTGATCAAAATTTTAAAATGCCATAGATCTAGAGTTACAAAGTCACAAAAATGATTTTTGAGAAACTATTGGAATGAAAAGTAAAGCATAAAAGTGATGGTTGAGGCAGAGGTTTGAAGAATGCCAATGTTGTCCTTTATTTCCAGTCTCCAGCACACAGCTACTCCAGCTATGATTCTGGCAAGAATGAAAGTGTTGACCGGGGTGCAGAGGATCTGTCACTCAACAGGGGAGATGAGGATGAAGATGACCATGATGAACATGAGGATTCTGAGAAGGTGAACGAGACAGATGGCGTGGAAGCTGAGAGGCTGAAAGCTTTCAATGTGAGTCCCCCACATTATGTGGCTATGTTTTGACCACTTCACATTCATGCCGTTGCTTGTTGGTCAATGTGAATATTCTAGAACCAAGTCTGTTTAATTTTCAGAAGGATTGTTAAAGTATATCAAACACTCTTTGACAAGCATACCCCAGAATTGCTGTGTTTTGTTTAGAATTTTAAAGCCAAATGGGTGCTGAACTGGAACTGTGTTGTGTGAGTATGCAGTCTGCCTAGGCTGAAGGGGGCTCAGATTAGCCCTCATATGGTTATGCCTGTCTGTCATCAGTTATTTCCTTTGCTTTCTTAATTGTGCATGACAAAAGAGTCAACTGTTGGTTCTCAGAGATGAGTCCACTGTGCAGTGTGGCGATGTCTCAGTCCCATTTATCATTAAAAGCAGATGTAATGGGTGCTCAGCTGTCCTGGTTCTACTGTTATTTCCTGATTTTTTTTCATTCTTTTCTGTCTGTTTGTCTGTCTGCTTTCCTCTCTCTCTCTCCCTATCCTTCTCTCTTTCTCTCTCCCTCTCTCTCTATATATATTTATATACTTTATTCAACCATTTAGAAAATCTTTAAAAGAATGTTTGCTTAAATTTTCTGGCTTTCCATTTGCAAAATTCTCCAGTGCATAAACCAGAAAAAGCATTTTTTCCTCTCGGTTATCAAGACAGGAAGCTAGGAAGAGAAGAGAGCAGCCCTCCAAACCCTTCTCCTCTGTCTCCCTCTTGCCAACAGATGTTTGTCAGGCTGTTTGTAGATGAAAACTTGGACCGAATGGTCCCAATCTCTAAGCAGCCCAAAGAAAAGATCCAGGCTATCATTGACTCATGCAGGCGACAATTCCCTGAGTATCAAGAGCGTGCCAGGAAACGTATCCGTACTTACCTCAAGTCCTGCAGGCGGATGAAAAGAAGTGGTTTTGAGATGGTGAGTTATAAATTGAACACAGCCCTAGATTCCATCCAAACCCCACATGTAAACCATGGCACTATTTTGTTTCCATCTTAGTGTCTTTATGTTTATTTTTCCATAACGTCAGGTCAAAGGGGTTTTCATTTGCTTGTGTTTATCCCCCCACTTTCCTTTTCATTCACCCCAAGCATTTATCCCCTTTGTTTATATGATAAGGACTCCCTTGGGAGGCCAGTGCTCACAGAACCATGTGCTAACATGTCACAGAAAATAAGGATAATACGAGAGAAAATCAGGGAGAAGCCAACTGTCACACACACGTCATCTGTGTTTGTTTTCTTTCCGTGACTGCTCAAGTGCATGCGAGGTTAACCAGTCTTGAACTGAAGGTGCAGGTGCAGCTTTGGGCGTGTGAGAATGGCTAGCTTTGGAATGGACGGCGATGGGTGCCTCTGCTGTCTAACAAATACCAAGCCTGGATAACGAAGGTGGGGAATGAAGGTCCTCACATTTAAACCTAAGCGCCTGTTGCCCTAAGTAGACTGGCTTCCTGTGGTGAACCAGGCTGTGACCTTCCTGCTCTGTTGTGCTTTGTAGGAGATGAGTTTGCCTGGCATTGATTACTTCGGGGTAGAAACTGGTAATCAAAATATTGTGAATTTCCACTGTTCTTTTATCTACACAAATCTAACTAACATTGATGTGTGCTTGATGTTTCTCACTTTTCAAGGTGTATATGTGCGTGGTTCCACAAACGTTAGCTGCTTTATAGTTCAACACTTACTGAAGCTTCAACCTAGGGCTCAGCATACTATAAGGCAAGCAAATGCTCTATTGCTGCACTATGGCTCCTGCTTTAAAAGTATTTTAAAAACTTTCTGGTCATTTTGTTTTCTCTCCCATTACTTAAAAAGGCTAAATGAAAGTCTAGATCACTGGGGTTTGTGATCTGGCCTTCTGGCTGTTTCAGTGTGATGGGTAGAAGTTGCTAAAAATGAGATGGATTTCAAAGTATGGCTTTATAGTTGGAATTTTATGGAGCTCAAATCATAGGAAATGAATGACAGTAATAGAAATCCCAGCTATTGTCAATTTTCATATTGCTCTCTAAAGCGGATATGGTCTTCCTGTATTTTAGAGTACATGCTGAGAGCATATTTAGGGGTTCTGCATCCACCACCTTCCGCTGTCTGATTTGGGTAAGTTGTCTCTTCCTCCTGTGCTCCTGTGCTTGGTTCCCTCTCTACAGAACATAATCACCCAGTTCGTAGTTCTGGGAGAATTCTTGTCTGCTAGCGCAGACAGTGCTTCCTAGAAACCCTTGCAAGTCATTTCTGGCACAAAGCAAGTCTTCAAAGGATCTGAAACAAGAAAACATTATCATCTATTATTAATTTGTCATCCAAGGAGAAGTTTCTTGTGATGTTTTTATTCAGCAATTTCAGAGCCTTTCAAATACAAATGTGGTTCTTATGATTTCTATGTTGAATCGAAAGTTTGCAGTACATAAGCCATTTAATAAGCAAAATGGTAGAACTGAGTGACGAGATTTAGATGATACAGGTAATAGAGTGCAATAGAGAGTGAGAGATGTGCTTGAAGAACATGAACTAGTTTCCTTGTTGTGGATTATCTAATAATTATATTTCACACAATAGAAGGAAGATAGGAGACAAGACTGATCTTATATCACACAGCTGACTTTGACATCAGAATCAATCACACTAAACAGTTGGTATAAAATTCCAGATGCTGGGCTAGAGAGGTGGCTCAGCCTCTACAGCCTAGACTCACAAACAAAATTTCCATTTGTAACTAAGTGTATTTTAGGTTACATTACACATATATTCTTCTTTTAATAAAAATGAAGGTAGCATATATCAGTATCATTTTTGCAAGTGCCTGCCACCACTCATCTTTCAATAAGATTTAGAGATTCCATCCTTTGGTAAAATTTATCTTATTTATTTCTTGGTATATAGTATTAGATTTATCATTCTTTGAGAGAAAGAAATAAGCACCATACAGAATTCTTAATTTTTCTAAGATCTATCATAGATTTTGCATCATTTAAAACATCATTGTGAGCCGGGCGTTGGTGGCGCACGCCTTTATTCCCAGAACTCGGGAGGCAGAGCCAGACGGATCTCTGTGAGTTCGAGGCCAGCCTGGGCTACCAAGTGAGCTCCAGGAAAGGCGCAAAGCTACACAGAGAAACCCTGTCTTGAAAAAAAAACATTACTGTCATTTTATTAATTACATGTATTCACTTTATCACAGATGTTTATTTAGTAGAAATTTCTGCTGTGTAGAAGAAAAAAGTAGATTAATACAAAGTCAATAAGTTTTATGTACTAAACTTAAACATGCTACAAAGAAATATTTAACCTTTAATATTTTTCATCTATTCAGTTATTCATTTATTCAGTGATTCATATAAATAGAACTTCAAAGGTAAGAGAGAGAACTATGACTCATCTGGCTTGTTACTGAGGAATGAATACCTTTTCCTGGTCATTATGATTCATTGAGATGACCCCTTATCTGACATGAAGTGCTCAAATGCAAGCTGGAGGGTCCTCTGTAACTAAGTGAAAAATGTAGATGAAAATGGAAACTGGAACTTAAGCTGTTTCCATCCTTTCAGTTATTAATCCTCCCTAGTCTGGAATACCCACTTGGAAATGAGAAGCACACTCTTAAATAGGCACACTTATATGTTCCATTCACTTTCTACATAAATTTCCTTACAATGGAATGTTGAGTAGGATTTTATTCCTTTTAAAACAGTCATCCTTATTGGACAAGAGAAAGAGTGAAAAATTCTCAGAATGACTCTCTTTACATGTGCATCTTGTTCTCTAATATGCATCAAGTCAGGAGGAAATCAACTCATTTTAAATACATGGAAAAAGGAACTGTAAAGTGTATGTGTATTTTGTAGGAGGCTAAGTACCAATCAATAGGCTTAGTTCTCCACTTTCTTGGGGTCCCTGAGACCAAAACACCCTGAAAGTAGTGAGAAACTCTCAAAACTGCTGGATTATGAGTTTCTTGTTGACTTTATGAAATTCAAAGTGAGATTCCTACTTTGTCACTATATATATATATATATATATAATTGAGGATCTTAATATTCACTTTACTTCTGCCTCTGGCCATACAAAATCTATTCCTTTTTAATATTCATGTCATTTCTGTTGTCCACTGAATTTAATTAGAGTTACCTGCATGACTATTGATGTCATTGCAATTATGTAGTTAAGCAAGGGCAACTTACCAGTCTTACCAGTGGCTACACCATTGAAGAATGTGACTCTCCCTATCCCAGCAAATATTATGTGACTGTAGGTCCTCAACAAGGGGAAGAGCCTAATGAGCCCCTTCCCTGTCTGTGATGGATGAAATGTTGATGGACACAATCTTGTGTAAGTCTTGTGCTGGTAACCATTGATACTCAGAGTTCAACAATCATATCATGTCCAGAAGACCTCTTTCACAGAGCTCTTTCCCATCCTCTGTCCCTTAGATGCTTTTAACCACCTCTTCTGCAATGCTCTTTGAACCATGGAGAGGGTGATATTGATGTCCCTTTACGGGTGAGCACTCGCCAGTTGCTTATTCTCAGTACTTTCACCAACTATGAGTCTATGCATTGACTGCCATTCAGTGCAGAAAGCAGTGTTTCTGGCCAAGGACATCAGTAGTAACCTCCGGGCATAAATGTGGATTTTAGAAGACTGAAATACTTTTAATTGGCTTCATTGAATACATTAAACAAACATTAGGATATATGTACATCCATCCACATATATATGCACATATATGTATATATGCATTTACATAATGCATATATATGGATTTTTATTTTCTTAGAATTACCAAGACCTAGTAAATTTTGATTGCTTTAGCAGAAAAAAAATTGTTTCGTGTTCTACATGGTGTTTCTAACACATGAATTAGAATCGCTGCAAAAAGATTCTTTGCTATACATTTTCACCAAGTCCTTATCACCAAACTCAAACCCTGGCATCTTAAGCATTAAGTAGAATAGCATGTTTAATGAAAAATAAATTGAACAATTTTGATCCAGTGTCCAGCTAGTATTCTCAGACTGTAAAACCTCAGTGAGTTAAGCAGCCATTAAATTAAGCCTTGGAAAAATATTGTGTGCTAAATTGTTATTGATTCTACTGTGTAGCTTTGACCCTTAAGTTACTTCAACAACTGCTCTCAAGAACAGGAGTTGGTTGTTCCAGGAAATGAATCAGTTTCTCCAAAGGGCTGTGATCTTAAATTCAATAATAGCTATAATAGAAACTGACGAAAGCAACAGTCTATAAGTAAGACACAGTTGACGCCTACTGAGGTTCCTCCTGTACTATTTCTCTCTTTCCTAGATTTGCATAGAGACCTTTGTCACCTGGACATATTTATGTGAATTTCTGTAAAACTCAAATGAAAATATTTAGAAAAAATACAGTAAAAGGGACTTAATGCAATATCCTTCTTTTATCCTTAATTGTGTCATTATACTGATATAGTCCAAGTAGCTTAGGTTCTGAATTCAGTGAGCTCATCTTGAAAAAAATCACACACCTAGTTGTTTATGAGACTATTTACCTTGTAGAAATAAGTCTCATTTAAATTTTTTATATAAAATTTTACTGAAAAATATAATGTCCACTGAGTTACTAAATACGAATTATAAAAGACTCCTTTTTAAGAGACTCTCTTAGAGTTTAATGCAAGGGAAACCACTTGTGAAGAAACAGAGTTTGCCTTAGCCTTTACCACTGGAGCTCTTCACTTAGTGTCTTCATTTTTGTGCCTCACTGTCAGGAAGTCTGAGCCAGATGTCATCACAGTCTCAGCAGTCCTTGTGTCTGTGTCTCTGTACATATTTCCATAGTAGTTATCACAACTACTGTAGGGGAAAAGTACGGTAACAATTTTTAAAAGGGTAAGAAATGAGTCTAGTTCTAAAAACACCAGAAAACTATCCTTTCATGTTA